TGCATGATTGGACGGCTGCATGGATTTCATGTGTTGTTTTCAATACATTCAAGGCCTTGTTTCTTCAGTATGTTGAAAATGACATTCTTTTTACCGATGCTTATGTGAGCTCACCAGTAACGATGCGCATGTTGCCTGGTCATCGATCATTTTTATTTTATTTAATTTGAACAGTTTCTAAACAAGGGTTGTCCCGATACCATTTTATTTTATTTTATTTTTTACAAACTAATACATGCACAAGAACTTTCATTAGTGTGAATTTAATAAGTAACAATAAATAAAATCCAAATTGTTTTGCGTAGTTAGCTCAGTCAATTGGACAGAAATTGAGCTGAGCTCAGACGTCAACGGCGGCTTACAGCTGTAAACGCTGTCGTCTAACAAGCCAGTAAAAGAAGTATCACGTAAAGTAATAATGTATAAATGAACACTCACAATGTTGTTTATATAAGTATCGACAGAAACAGTGATTTGTTGAGGAGTAAACACCATCTATCCGCGGTGCCGATAAACAGACATTAGCATACGCAGTTAGCCGCTATCGTACATCTTTGGTTATTTTGGTAAATTGCTCATATCGTAAAAGAACAAATCTTGTTGCTGACATTATTGACCTACTTAAATAAACTACCAACGAGGGCAATGACCCATAAGTATCGGTGCATTCCTAGTCCGAACTCAACATCCAGTTGTCACATCATTGCTTTTTGACCATCGGCTGAAACAGATGGCTGTCAGTTGACATGTTGGCTGTTGTTTCTGTCACGTTAGCTTTATTTACCTGTGAAACCATCCCAGTCATTTTGACGCAGTTTGCTGCCCGTTCCTCTTCACTTGCTCTACTACAGGTGGACAGATGTTCCAAAGAATTTCTTCTTTGGAACATCTGTCCACCTGTACGTTTTTTTTTTTACTAAAGCCGTACACAGCTCTTTGGTGGAGCACCGTCTGATAACTACTTGTTTTTTGGCCTGTAGGAACACATCGAAGCGGGGCGAGACCTTCGGGATCAGCCGCATTGGCAGCAAGATCAAAGGAGTGTTCAAGAGCACCACTATGGAAGGAGCCATGCTGCCGTCCTATGGCCTGGTGGAGGGAGAGGATGATATGGTAAATTGGTGTTTAAATAAAATAATAATAATAATAATAGTCTGCCATACTTAACAATTACCACTTGGGGGCGTTGATGAGTAAAGAAAGAAGAGCTACAGCTTGGATTAAGCCTGCGTTTCATGTGCATCCTGTACTATTTTTTAGAATTTATATTAGTATTTTTCCCTCAGCCCAAAAACACATTTACAGTATTGTGCTGATCTGGGATCAGAGTAAAAAGGAAGATAAGTAAAATTCCACTGTTGCTTCTCTTATCCCTCACTTTGTCAGCACAGCTTGAATTTGTCATTGGATTACACAGTGTTGAGTCGAAGCAGTCGAAGATTTCTCTTTCAATTAAAAAGAGAAAATGACTTCCGAAGGTGATCAGCTTTTCAAACACAGTTTGTGATCAGATAGATTAGCTGCTCTGCCATGGAGAAGTGAGACTATGCTGACTTCAAGATTAAGAATGTTCATCAGATTTTCTCATTTATTCCCATAACTTTCCGAGACTGGAGAAATAATAATTAAAGCTGCCCAAACAGAAAATAAATTAGGATTGTAAGACATGTGTTTGAAAAAACATAGGATAACTGCAAAGACACTGGGGAATCACTTAGCTCAGTGTGGAGTTCAAGTGTCCAAAAAGACACTCACTGGAGTTCTTTACAGAAATAAAGTTTCAGAGAAAAAAACCCCCATCCTTTTCTGCACCTCCAAGCTCTGTGCCATACTAAAACCTTCTTCTCGAGAGAAAGTGATGACGTATACCAAACTTGAAACATATCTCACATCAAAGAAGTGTTGCCTATTTGGAACGAGGAACAGAGAACACCCCCCCCCCCCCCCCCCCCCACCCGGGGGGGGTGGGGGGGGGGGCGTGGGGGGTGGGGCCGTGGCGCGCCTAGAAGTCTTTTGAGGGTTTGGATTAGAAGTGAGAAAAATGTATTAGAAAATATTGTCAAAAAGGAAACCAAAAATCAAGCAGTCATTCTCGATTCTTTCATCTTTTTGGTCTTTGTCTTCTTGGTTTTGTCATCTACTTTAGCCGTGTTCGTCATCATCTTCTTTTGCCCTCGTGTTGTCTCCTTATCTTTGTTCTCCTCTTTCTTTTTTTCATTTTTCTGCTTTGCTTCTCCCCCTGCTCCTCCTCCTTCTCTTCCTCTCTTCCTCTGTGTCCTCCCTCGCCTTCTCCATCTTCAACAATACAATCCTTGGAAACTGGTGAAGACTTCTTCAGAAGGCCAAAACAAATTGTTATTACAAATACTGTCGCAAAGCCATTAAATTGAAGGAATGACATGTTTTCTTGCGGTCTAAAAGAAGTAATTCCGTCTCAAAGGGACTAATGATTTTGTCCTTAAAATTATTTTACTTAGTCTTGAACAGCTCACAAAAGCGATGCTATAACAAGTGAGGCGAACACAAAGACAACTCCGAGATGACAAACACTTCACTCTTTTTGTTTTAAATCACTTCACCAGCGGCAGATTGTTGTGGTGACCTGTTTATGCAGAGTTGAATCAATCTGCTCGTCCTTAAGCGCCTACACTCTCTTCTCTCTGTTCAAGGTGGAGGAGGCCATGATGGTGCTGGAGGACGACACCCCCATGGAGGCAGCCTGTACTCCCAGCACTCCTCGAAACCTCTCAGCCTGGAACATCACCATCCCTTACATTGATTTCTATGACGACGACGTGAAGAGGGAGAGGATTCCTGTTTTCTGTATCGACGTGGAGCGCAACGACAGGAAGGCAGGTGAGTCGAGCACTTAAGAGTCCGCAAAGAACGTCATTCACCTCTTTGATGTCACAGAACATCACCTTCTTTTGAATATGGATTGCCGTTCAGATGAATTAGAAATGGTAATGTTTTTCTTTTGAATATGGAGTTCAGATGAATTAGAAATGGTAATGTTACATTCTGCCGTGAGTGTGTGAGGAGGCAGGCAGGACCAACATGCAGCTCTCAGGAGACTGACTTCAGTTTGCTGAACGTTTATTTACAAAGTCCAAAAGAAAAACTCAAAACCAGGAACGCAGAAACTCACTGACCATATAATGAACATGAACACAGATGAGTGCGATGACACTGATGAACTCATCGCAGCCGAAGTGAAGGGAGACAGACAGACCTCACCTGAAACTGCCAAAATCCAGTTTTATTTTTTAAACGTTTTGAGAAAAAAAAATCTATTTTCAGATCTTCCGAGTCTGCAGTAAAGCCTGGTATTTGAGCCGAGACCAGAGATGACACCTGACACCATTTTCCCACAATCCAATACGAGTACCAGTACAAGTGTTTTCACGTTTGTAGTCACCGATACCAAGTACCGTCACTGATACATTTTTTAGCCTGTTGCCTCCATGAATTAGCAGTGCTCTGTAAAGGTGGCAAAGCTGTGTGTGGGTAACACGGTGACGTGCAGTGAGTAGGTGTGAGCGCAGCCCAGACCAAAGTGAGGATAAACAATGTTTACAGCCACTTTTATTTTCTTCTCATTAACAGAAGGTTGTTTCAGTCCAACAGAAAACAAATCGTTTTGTATTAAACTAATGGTCTTCAAACTGACACTGTCGACACAGTAGACGTTACATCAATAAAAACCCAGGCGAAACGCTATCAACGCCATTTTAAATAAATGGCAAATTTCAATTGAAAACACTGTCTCCGGCTTTCCAGTAAACAAAGTGTCACTTAAAACTGTGTAGCGTCATTTTTACACACTGAATAAACACAACACTGACTGAACAAACAGAGCGCAGGGTCACGGTGAAAAGGTTCTAAGTTGTCCAGTAAGACTATGAGTATTTGAATCCAATATTGTGGCCTAACACTGATACTGGTATTGATAATAGTGCATCCTCAGTCAGGAGAGTAAGTAAGCACATTTTATCTGCAAAAAACAAATGAACAAAACAGATGTTATCTCAGTGAGCTAATATCTCCCCCAAACTTCTTTTAACAGAAAAGAGAAAATCGAAGAATGTTGTATGTGTTGTATTTTCTAAATGCAGTCAACTTAGTGCCAAACACTACACAGTAATGCAGTAACAGCATCTTGAACACACACAGTGGGAGTCCCCCCAGCAGTTCAGGCTAGTCTAGTCTAACAGAACTTTGAGTAAACTGAAGTAAACATTCAGCAGCATTAACTGCATTTTATAACAAAAACATTAAACTCCTTTTTTCATTTTTTAACTCCTTGAGAACTAGGCCTGTGTCAGTGAGACTCCTTAGATTAATAGATTTTTAAATTATTTAAATCACACACTACATATCATCAACTACTTTTTGGCCACACCTGATTTAATTGGAGGACAGTGGGTGTCGTGTCATCTGCTCATTTAAATGATTGTTTAGACATTTGTATGTGATGGCTCGATCCCTTACTCAGGATCAGTATCGATACGGTATTGGTCAAAATTTCAGGATTGAACATCGATACTACTTACTTACTACACTTACTCTGTGTCTTATTCTGTTTGTGTACAGTGGGACATGAAACCGAACACTGGTCTGTCTACAGAAGGTACCTGGAGTTCTACGTCCTGGAGTCCAAGCTCACAGAGTTCCATGGTTGGTTTTCTGTTTCTACACCTGGTTCTGTACTGTCAGAACTTTGTTTAATTTCTGCCTTAAATAAAAAAAAAAAAACTTGCACCAGCGGAGCAGTAAAATGTTGAAAACACAAACGTGAAGATATTAAATGTAAAGGAGTTTGGCAAACACTGCAGACTGAGAGCCCCTGTAATGGCTGCCAAATGGCTGTGAGACTGAGAGACTGGGAGGTATCGGAACTCCTCTGGTGAGTGTCTAGTTTAGTACAGTGGTCCTAAACTTTTTTGGAGCCACAGAGTAGTTAAAGGTCTGGAATTTTTAAGGTGTAGTGAATTAATACAGCTAAATAAAATGAATCGACCGGCATATAAATATAATAATAAACGTTAAGCCACTGTGTATGCCTTTATTAGCAGCGTCCTTGTAACATCGCGCTCATCTTTTAATGCAGAACGCTTGGTCTCCAAGTGGCGAAGCAGTTTTGAAGGCTTCGTTGCCTCATTAGAGAGCCACGCACCACGTATTTGCACACATATGCAGCGCAGGCTCGGTGCGTGGGAACAACCTGTCGCAATAAATCCATATTGTAAATAGGAATCCTGAAATGATCTGTTAAATGGAGCTTTCATTTTCTTTGTAGACGTAGGCTCTTCTTCTGTTATTTCTTATTGGCTCTTTCACGCTCTGCTAAGAAACCTTCTAAAGACGTTGGTTTTCTGTTCATTTCGCTAGCTAGGTTTCAGCTTAGCGATAATGTTTTATGTGTTACCGGCCAGAGCAGACCTTTTAAGAAGGTAGCAGATGTAGGTTAGACATGTGACCGAGGCAATCATCCTGACATGTACCCACTACCAATTGACCCACAGACTGGTGCCAGTCCGGGGGTTGGGAACCACTGGTTTAGTACATGTTGAAATCATGAACATCACCACAGCCAGTGGAATTTGCCAAAGGAACTGTACACAGGGAATGTTTACATCACCACACAATATCTGCTCCTACAAATAATGTCCTTTAATCACCTTAGAAATGTAGTGTTCAGCCTGGAAAATCTTCCCAAACCTTCCAAACCCTACCATGCGTCACAAGCATCTGTTCTTTTTTTTGGTTTTGTTTTATTCCTTGCCATGAGCAGGGAATTTTCCATCTCAGTGGATGTGAAGAATTCACAGATCAGTGCACCCAAGTCAAGATTTATTATTAAATCTCAAGTAAATAAAAACCGGTGGGGGACGTGGGTCCAGGCGTGCAAAACAGAGTAGAGAGTGAGGGTCCGCCCGTGGAAGAGGTCAAATGAAAGTAGCGGGCGAGGCAGATGGATGATGCCCGCTGGTGACAGCTGACGTCATCCAATCAATACCAGACCCTTACTTAAAGTCTTTCAATGGCTTGTTCCCCCCTCCATTTAAGTCAAATCTTTACTCTCTGTTTTTATATTTTCACTGGCCATGTCTGTTAAAGCCTTTCTCCCTCTGCAGGCTCATTTCCCGACGCACAGCTGCCTTCAAAGAGAATTATCGGCCCAAAGAATTATGAGTTCCTCCGGTCAAAGCGGGAGGAGTTTCAAGAGTACCTTCAGGTAAATTGGTAAAGCTCCCAGCTTTGTCTTTTCTTCTTTTCTTATCTTATTAGTTGTATTCAGTATAGCTCCACAGGGTGGGGGGTGGGGGAGGGTTATTCCCGAAGTTGTTTTATAACATAAGTGTAATTGCTTTATTTTGCAGAAACTCCTGCAGCATCCAGAGCTGAGCAACAGTCAGCTCCTGGCCGACTTCCTGTCTCCCCACAGCATGGAGTCTCAGTTTCTAGACAAGATGCTGCCGGACGTGAACCTGGGTACAGTACGAGACGTATTCATTACAGAGCGGCAGGCGGAGGCTGCGGAGATAGATTTTGTTTGTTTAACAGAACAGGTCACCAACAACGTGACGGTGTTTGATCAGCTTGACCCCGGGGGATGGAGTGGGGGGGGGGTTGGAGGGGGGTTCTGCAGGAAGTATGCTGACAGAACAATACATCACTGAGATAAAGTGTTTATTTTTCACAGGCAAAATCATTAAGTCGGTTCCAAGCAAACTGATAAAAGAGGTGAGGAATGTATTCTGTGTGTGTGTGTGTGTGTGTGTGTGTGTGTGTGTGTCCTTGTGCTTTATTCTGCAGAATGTTTCACCCTTTTATGCCTGAGATTTTTTCCTGATTCTTAACTCCCATTGTGCACAACAGATACATCTTTAAAGAGAGACATGGCCTTGCATGTTAAACAGGTTGTTTCTCTTTCATCAGAAAGGGCAGCATTTAGAGCCTTTCATCCAGTCATTCTTCAACTCCTGTGAATCCCCCAAACCCAAACCCAGCCGACCGGAACTGACCATTCTGAGCCCCACGTCTGAAAATGATAAAAAGGTTAGAATAATCGAAGTTGCCACGCAGAGCAAATTTTTATAGAAGACAAGGACAAAGCATTTCGGACTAAAAGCTTTTTTTTTTCTGTCCTAGCTTTTCAACGACGTCTTCAAAAACAACGCTAATCGATCGGAATTGACGGAGAAGAGACACAATCAGAACTACTTCATGGAAATGATCCATGTTGAGGGGGTTTATGACTACTTAATGTATGTGGGTGAGTGGAGTTTGTTTATAGGAGCCCTGCAATCAAAGACAATTAATAAAAACCATTGATTTGCCGCACGCAAGGGAGAGCAACTGTTGTCAGTTTTAAAGTATCAGAAAAGATTATAAGACTTTTTACGTTAAATGTGTAACCTCTGAATATTGAAGTGTATCATTGCACTGCACAATCATTAGCTTTTATTTTTGAAATTTTCACACCGGCTCTCTCTATTTCTGCGCCGACAAATAGTAAAAGAAGTGAAGTGTTGTACGGTTATTATGAGATCCATATGCCAGTAATGATTGATGCCGTCACTATGCCAGTGATTATGACAGGACAAGTCCAACCTTGGGGAGGTGATGTTCTTATTTACAGTCTATCCACACAGCCTATTCTTCTCCCAACCTCTCTCTCTCGCTCTCGCTCTCTATCTCTCTCTCCCTCTTTCTTTTGATCTTTATGCTTGTCAGGCCGAGTTGTCTTCCGCATCCCTGACTGGTTGCACCACCTGCTAATGGCTGGAAGGATCCTGCTCAAGAACACTCTGGAGACCTACACAGACTACTACCTGCAGTACAAACTGGACCAGGTGGTCCAGGAGAATCGCCTCGTCTCCCTCATCACTCTGCTGAGAGGTACTGGATCAGACACAGAGACACAGACGGACAGAGCCAAGTTTTATGAGTTTTATGGCCTTCCTTTATAGTCGCTATTGCACCACCCCTCAGTTCATTTTGAAAGTTTTTGTCAACCACACCTAAGGCAATCGAAATTGTTATGTGAAATAGATATAGAGAAACAATGTGAACGGATAGGTTATACGTTATCTTAGGATTTCTTAATGGTAAGAATTTTAAGATTAGTAGTAATCAAAGCAAAAAAAAACTTAATTCAGAAATGTTCAGCAATATTGGCATATGAGAACTAGCTTGGCGAATGTAGCTTAAGTTAAGTTTGTCCAAACTTTGTAGAAAAAGCATAGATTTGCCAGTAGTTGGAAGTTTGTAGTTTGTAGTCAGAACAGTAGAAAAGTTAAGTCAATAACTAAATGATCAAGTATAATAAAAAAAGTAAGCTGTCGGTAAGCTACACAACCTTTCATTGTTAGTCCTCAGGCTATGCTACGCTAATGTGGCTAGGTCTAGCCTAAAGGCTTGAGGAAAGTCACCTTCAGGGTAAAACTTGACACTTGCAGCTATTTGTTGAGTTATTAATGTTTGTGCTCCTTTCAAAAATGTTTTAAACGATAATGTTTTTTGGCAGACTCAGTTTTCTGCGAGAGCAGTCCGCCGCGCTCCACTCAAGAAAAGCAGAGGAGAGCAAAGAAAACCTTCGAAGAGATGATGAGCTACATCCCAGGTATTTTTTTTTTCCTCTTACAGAGCAATTGTACAGATGAGAATAAGCTGCCAGTTTCATAAATAAATTCATAAGCCATTTGTGTGCAGACCTGCTGGGGAAGTGTATCGGAGAAGAGGCCAAGTACGAAGGAGTTCGCCTGCTCTTCGATGGACTGCAACAGCCTGTCCTCAACAAACAGGTAGACGGACGCTAATGTCTTCTGAGACTATTATCGTCCTATAAACAGTGTATGTCTGACATGTACATTTACTTCATGTAAAACACACTGCATTAGATATATAGAACAACATTCAGAACTCTGCTGTGTGTGTGTGTGTGTGTGACGGCAGCTCAAACCTGCATCAACGTACAATTTTGTTCAAAGCATTTTTTTTCTTCCCAGCTCACTTACGTACTGCTGGACATCACTATTCAGGAACTTTTCCCCGAGCTGAACAAGGTAAACTGCTGTCGTTCCGACACAGTGTGTGATCTTGTCAACAAACTTCCTCTGGAGAAAATGGGACAGATATTTCCGTGCTAACTTTTTTTTCCCCTCAGCAGGGACAGAAGGAGACCACATTAATGGCTCCTTGGATGTAAAATGAATAGCTCAGTGGAGGTGATGATCCTATTATGCCAATCAGACACTCAGTTACATTATCCTGCTGTAAAAAAAGCTTCTTTTTTTAAAATAAATAAATAAAGATTAAAAATTACCTTCTGTTTTCCTTGTTTAATTAAATCTAAATATAAAAGTAAACACCTGTGTGACTGCTGGAGGTGGGAGTCAAACCTAATTCTGAAATCCTAATTTCTTAGTCACACTGAGGCGCTGATGAGCACAGTTTTATTATTGCTGCTTAAATTTAAATAACCAATGACTTTCTCGTCTCTCGACACAAGTGTTCCCTTATAGGGATGGTAAAATTATTTCTAAGACTCTCTAAAAATAAAGAAAAAGGCCTTGGGGTAACGAGAAAAGGTTTTAAGCAGATGTGGTGACAAACAGAAGTATCGCGTCGCAGTCTGAGGCCTCGCATTGTAATGTTTATTGCTGCACAAACATAAGGCAAAGGTACATTTAGGCAACGCTAGGACATAAAGGAAATAGCACAACATATGAGGCAGCGATGGAACATTTCACCATGGCATTGATGCTAGAGTTTCACGACTCCCTGCAGCTTCTATGCATGAGATATGAGGAGTGGTGTGCAAACCTCTTAAACCCCCTGGTGGCTACAGGTCGATGGTGGGGCTGAAAACAAATGCAGTAAGGTGATCACAGGAAATGACAGAGAAAAATGAGTGGAGTTTTGCAGTTTGTTGTGCTTGTATGCAGATGACAGCTCAATTTTCAGGGGAAAAAAAATTGTGGTTTTGAATAAAACAATAACATATTTACCCAGGTTTGTTTTCATACTGGTAGACTGTTTTCTTCTGTAAAAAGATGTAAAAACTAAGATAATGTAAAGTAAAATGTTTGGAAATGAACCTATTTTTGTAATACTTATATTATATTACACTTGCCGAATGGAACACAATGCCTCAGCACTGTATTTTATTTCCTTAGGCTGTAAATAAGAATGGATTTGGTGTTTGGTTTATAAAAGTAAGGACCTGAAAGCTAAAGAAGTAGTTTTATCTGCAGAGGATGGGGGCTACTTCTTACTTTATTTATAATGTCAATAAAACTTTATAAAAAAAATGTTTGGGGAAGACAATGGTGAATAGAGTCTTCAGCTGCTTTTGAAGAAACTCAAAGAGATTTATTTTATCAGCACAAAACAATGTCAGTTTCCTATATATCTATCCCTGCCTTGAAGTTGGCTGAAATTGTAAAAGTAAATGATGCCATAAACAAGGTTGGATTCCAGTTGTCAAGGTTGGAAAACAATGTGGTTGCTCTTAAGAAAGATATAATTAAGTAAGGCTATCTTCAAATCATGAATTAACAAACATTTATTTAAAAAAAGGCAACGCCCCCTGCTCCCCCCCCCCCCCAAAAAAAAAACAGCAAAAAAAATGGCTACAGAATTAAAAAAGTCACAGTTCCTACAGTATTTCCTATAATGGGCAGCCATCTTGGTTTGAAGTTGAATAGTCAACTTGTGTTGTCTCTAGTTATTATTTATCTTCCATTTACCTCTAAACGGGAGTGCAATTTTACTCAATTTACATCATACATGTTAACAGTCATGAAATTTGATTTTTCACATTTTAATATTATTATTTTAGGAATTCATAATTTAGTCCGAAGTAGCCTCAAGATGCTCTTTAAACTTAAATCATGCCGAAACCAAAAGAGCACTTAGTGTAGAGAAACCTGTGGTTTGTTTTACTTTGAAACCACAGTTTGCAACCAGATGGCCACGTCTGTTAAATATTGCCCACAGTTCCTTCCCTTTCCAGTGAAATGGTCCAGAATCTCTTACAGCAGCCACACAGTTTTCCATTTCCCAGCATAAGGAAAACCCACAGTAGCTAAGAGTATTTGAACTACGTCATGTATCAGTGATTTCAACGTTTTCAATCGTCAGTCCTGGGCTTCGGACAAATGTCTGTAAGGTGTTTTAATCTCTTGATTAAATCAGTGACCTCTGTAGTTCCTCCGTATTGTCTGCTAGTTCACCTTCGAGGCACCGAGTTGAAGTTGTCCAAGTCCTGGAGGAGTTTTCCAACAGCCCTTCAGTTTATCACAGTTTCTCAGAGTGTTCAAAGCCAATCACAGGGTCGAGGACAGACATAAAAGCCGCAGCAGTGCTGCAAGGTTGTGGGTTGTAAAGTAATATGAGTTCTTGAGCGTGGTCCTGCTTGTTAAGGCAGAGTACACAGGCCTAATGTTTATGACACATTTGAAGAAAAGCGAAATGCACACATCACCCATAAATTGGGGGAGACGGAATTAGGCCGAGGGCATGTGATTTTTATTTATTTGACCACAAATCAATACATCGAGCAAAGCTGAATGTGGGTTTGATGACACCTGATCTAAAGTTTAAGGAGGAGTATGGGTGTAACAATTCATCAAAATGTATGTTCTGATCCCTATTTTAGTCTCAAAGAAAGCGCTACACAGTCCGACAGACACACCGACCATTACTGCTCCAGAGAGTCCAGGCTAAAATGGAAATTTATAAGATCGCAGCTTCAAGTGTTTGGTACTTAGCTCCATGTTACATCCTGCCTTTCATAATTATTCCCCACTTCCCCCAAACACATCTGAGCACTTAATTGTTTTCCACTGTTTAGAAAAGGTATTGGTATAGTAAACCGGAAACAACAGATAATGAACCGCAGTTAAAAAATAAGTGATGATCAAAAATTGAAATGGTATTAGGGCCACAGAATGAAGCAAGTTATCATTTTGAAAGTAAGTTATACCGTTCAACGGCCAACTCCATTTTTTTTTTTTACTTGATGCTTTAATAACATAGTGGCGCTTTGGCCCAGCGGCAATGTTTCTGTCAGGGGGGGGAAACCCCAGGTCACCTCCTGGGCAAGATCAAATCCCGGTTAGGTTCAGGGGGGTTGGTACGGTGCAGTGTGATTTGGGTGGCGGTCATGGAGACTGCCGCCCTCGCGACCTGGTAACAGATAAGCGGATAAAAATGGATGGATGGATGGATGGGCTATAATAACATACAAACTTGGACGCCTTAAAAAGGAAGAAAATGTTCTTATTGAAAAATTATAAAAGCACGCACACGTGGGGAAAACACGAGAACCTGGGGTCGAACTGTTAAATTGGGGTGTCAACTAAAACGTTGTAGCTACTGCAATGTTAACCTAATGGAACCCAACCTCTGTGCTGGGTGAACAGCACCACCTGCTGGGGTGTTAGCATCCTGCTCTTGCATATACATTTCTTGTATATACATTTCAATATAAAAGTTGAGCCTCTTAAGTTTTTCAGGTACTGTATGTAGGTACACACATACATACATATATATATACGTATATACTTATATATACATATCTATATTTATATAGATATGTATATATATATGGACTTAGCATTTCTTTGTTTCCGTACTTCTCGCTCTTAGCTGGTGGACTGTTATTGTTGCCCTTTATGTGTGAATAAATGTAACATTGTAAAGAAATGAAAGGCCAGCGCTGACATCGGCTGCAGGAAGAAGAATAAACAGCATTTATCAATCCCCCACAAAAAACAATTTTTATCTGAAACATTGATTGAGAGCAGTTTGATAAGAACTTTCTATTCTGTCTAACTGAGTAACAACATTCAAGGTTACAGAACACTCTGTTTACAGCTCGTATTTACTGCATCTATTATCAGGGGCCCTGCTGTCAGGTTTTATATTTCCCTTTGTTTCACGTATGAAATAAATGACCGCTCGTATTCATTTCATTGCCGTTGTTACGTCTAACAGGAATTAAATAATTTTTATTTGCACGTTGATTAATGAAAAGCTACAAATTAAAATTAATTCACTTAGTTTTAATAAGTGAATAACTCGTTTGGCCACATTATAATATAAAAAAAGTGTAATATCAATATCAGGATGCTTTTATTTATGAGGGAATTTGCAACGTTTTAATTAAAAAAAGCAGAGGAAACCTATTTTGTGTGTGCTCTTTTTAGTTTTTAGTTTTTAGTAACACATTAAACCTGAGATGACAAATTAAAAACAGTCCAGAGTGCATGTCTTCACATTAGATCAGTTGCATGAATTATTGAAGATAATTGATTTTTTTTTTTTCCCCTAAAGGCTGAATTTCTTCCTTCTTTCACTGGGCAGCGTAGATGTGGTTTGTAAGTAAAATGGGACAACGTTCAGTGGAAACTGTGAGAATAAATCACCATGAAATGTGGCGTAAACGTTAATGTCTCCACCGAGGAGAGCAAAAATAGTCGCCCGTCAGACGAGCGAGTGGACTGATAAGGAGACCGCGACCTTCCTGAGGTTAATTCACGAAGCAAAGACGAAGCCTAATTACGCACTGACCTTGTCAACACTTTGAGTTTGGAATCCAGCGGTGAGGTCAACAGAGGTCGACAAAAGTACAAAGGAAAACTTTGAGGGTGGTTGCCCCACATTTAGTCTTTCTATCATACATGGATTGACTTATTAACGTACGCCACAGAAGTCGTTATAGAGACGAATGTGTCTTAATTAGCAGGTTGACCCGTGACACATTTGCACATCAAAGTAACATCCACCAAAGGCTAGGTCTTTACAAGCAAGGACGTGTCAGCGTCCGCAACACTTAGTGCTGAGGAAATGGTTTGACAAAAAGCTGTTTTTTTATTCTCAATACTGTGAGTAGTACTAGAGTTGGGGTCTCAAATACTAACCGGCTAAAGAGGTTAAAAAAAGTACAAAAATAAATTATTGACAACTGCTGTCAGGGGCCAGATGTGAGAACTTAGTGGGCTGCAAGTGGCCCCTGGTCCTGGAGTTTAACACCGCTGTTTTACAGTTAATGGGAAAATTCAGTACAGAGAGACAGAAGTGTAACCTACTAAGAATGTGCATGACCTTCGAAATCTTATGTCAAAACCCATCAACAGGAAATCTACAACCCCCTAGTGGGTTGTAGAAGTACTGCAATGTGGTCATAAAAGTTTGGATTACTATGTATTTTCCATCCAGCCTAATCACTACTCAAGTCCAAAGAGGAATTCACACATCAGTTCATCTAAAAAGAGCACAAGGAACAATGTTTAACCAAGGGTTGAGAGTTTGCCTAGCAACACTGAGAAGTGCCTCCAGGTTATAAACAATGATGGTACGTAGATGCAATTAGTAACTACAGCATGAAGTGCATGCCGAGGCCGATATGGAATTTTAGAATGAAGCCTTTTCTCTCCCCGTAAGAATTTGTGGTTCTGCAGGAACAGAACAAAGCCGAGCGTCATTCTGTGTAAATTACAAAAGGATTGCTTTACAACACGAAGCACATATTTATGCCTGTAGTTAAAATGTGTCTCCTGCTGGAATATCTGGCCCATAAAAGAAGAGGAAAGTTTGACGATGAAGAGCAAAGATGAGACGAACTCAAGTCTCCTGTGGGGGAAAAAAAACCAAAAAAATAAATCCCAAAAAAAAAAAAAAAAAAAAAATCTATAGTCTAGAGTTATAGTAGATGATTTTGAAGTGTTAATGTCTGAATTACTTTATGCTGCATAAATAGTGTTTTGGTGGGAAAAAAACCAAACCTCAAAGTCTTTCTTTTTTCTTTATACAAAATATTATGCTTTAATGGAAAAGATGTTTTATATAATGAAAAGTTTTTATTTTTTATTTTTGTATTGAACTAGAAAAGACGAACAAACATTTTTGACACATTTTCCGTCAGTGCCGCCACAAATCATGTACTATCACTCTGCAACAAAGTTTCCCAAACTTTTGAGCCACAGCTGATAATTTACCTCACAAGAATTCCACGGTGCAGCACTCAACAAAAAAATTAACCAAACATATATTTAAAGAAAAAGAAATATTAACTTTACAGGCAGGAAT